AGAGCTTTGCCAGCGCATGTCCGGCGGCTGCCAAGCTCCTGGCTGTGGATGAGGCGGCGCAGAAGGCGGCCGTTGTGGCCCACAATCACCTGCGCCAGCAATGGGCCAGTGGCCAGGGCAGGATCAGGGTGAGCGCTTGCCGCATGGCCACAATTAGCTGGGATCCGGAGCTGGCGCGTCTGGCCGAGTTGAATGTGAAGCAGTGCCACATGGAGCACGACGACTGTCATAATACGCAGCGTTACAAGAACTCCGGACAGAATCTCTACATCTACGGCACCTCGGGCTCCGCTGAGCCGGATGTGGCCAGCATATTGCGTGACGCTGTCGCGGATTGGGCAACGGAAGCTGAGCACATCAATGCCGATCAGCTAGCCGAGTATCCCGACAACTACAATGGACCGTAAGTAGAGCTTGTCTATAGCCATGGGCTCTTAACTAATTCCATCAATAGCACCATTGGCCACTTTACGGTTATGGTTAACGAGCGCAACGTCGCCGTCGGCTGTGCCATCTCCAACTATCTGGACGGCGGCTTCAACACGTTTCTGGTCGCATGTAATTATGCGGCAACCAACTTTATTGGCTTTCCCATTTATAAGTCATGCTCGCAGCCCGCTGAAGCATGCACAAGTGGCACCAATCCCAAGGGCTCCGCTCTGTGCTCCACCAGCGAAGATGTGGACTACAACTTTGCCAATCCATAGGCATAATATTTGACGCTCTTTAACATCGGGCAATATTTCATGTTCCCATATTTATATATATTAAACAGATGAGCATATTATGTTCTTTGCCTTATTATTTGTTGGACATTTTACCGAAATCAACAATTCATGCCGTCCGAAAGTAGTTGCAGATTTACCAAGATTTTTTTGAAAATTCATTGTGGACGTGCTTTGCACTCTACTGAGAATCCACTTTCCATCGTGGAAAAAGGGGGGTTCAGCAGAAAAGTTTCGTTCGATTGCCTTCAAACTTATATATAGAATCACAATATATTTGGTAAAAAACCGATTTGGAAAAACAAGAGTCCACGTACTTATTTTTTAAATGAAATCTAGGATTTCATGAATACCGAATTCCACAATTCATGCCGGAATACATCCCAAGTTACAGGAATCCACCGGAAGCTGTGAAAGGGTCCGAAAATAGTTGTAGGACTTTTTTTGTTTACCATTTACACTCTAATTTATTTTCCAAGAATTCTTTGAAAATTCACTGACGTGTTTTGCACTCTACTGAGAATCCACTTTCCAACGTGGAAAAAGGGGGGTTCAGCAGCAAACTTTCGTTCGATTGCCTTCAAACTTATATATAGACTCACATTCTATTTGGAAAAATTACTATTTGAAAAAAAAAAAGAGTCCACGTACTTACTTTTGAAATGAAATCTAGGATTTCATGAATACCGAATTCCACAATTCATGCCGGAATACATCCCAAGTTACAGGAATCCACCGGAAGCTGTGAAAAATGGTCGGAAATTGGTTGTGTGACTTTTTCTTGTGCAAAACTTATTTTTCAGACTTATTTTTCAAGATGTTTTTGGAGGCATGTTTCACACTTCATAGAAAATCCACTTCCCTGCGTGGAAAAAGTGGGATTCAAACATAAAGTTTCGTTGGATTGGCTTCAAACTTATTTTGCCAACTGGAGATACAAAACATATATAGAAACATGTTGTTTTTGGTAAAATAAGGATTTCAGGATTATCGAGCGAAAAGAAATAAGATGGAAGTTTTCGAGTATATTGATAAAATTCCAAGTTTTAATTGTTCTGTGTGTGAGTTAACAAGCTGTTGTTAGATTATACAGAAATTTCGTTAATAAATAAATGGTTATTATCTGTCCGGTATTTACATTCACGAAAGGGTATCAATATCCTAAAATTTAATCAAGCTTGTCTGTATTGCATTTGTTGAGCCCACTGGAAACAAGTTTCAATCTATTTGCAATATCGTCTGTAAAAAGAGCGAATTCTTTTTCCCTACGTTTTTTTTTCTTTTCTTTTTCTTTTTCACTCAAACAATAAACACAAAAATTTGTCTTTTACGATCGGTCGGTCGATGGATCAATGGATGAATTGGATAGACTGATTGATTGATTGATTGATTGATAATTACTTGGCAACGATTGTCTTGAAGACAGTGGGACGCTTGTGGGCGGGCAATTGGCTATAGCAATAGGATTTGATCGTTTCCAGATCGACATCCGAATCGGGTGACAATATGCAGATGACGCCCAACCGATGTCCCCACAACTTATTGGGTATGCCCAGAACGGCGACATCATTGATTCCCGGATGCGAGATGAGGGCCTTTTTGATCTCGGATCCATAAATCCTATAGCCACCCACATTGAATACGTCCGTCGATTTGCTCAGAAAGTGAAAGCTGCCATTACGATAGGCGCATATGTCGCCCGTCTTCAGGTACTTCTCGATGGGCGGCTCCGTCAGCTCCGCCTGCAGCTGCTGATGCTGCTGCTGCTGCTGCTGCTGCTGCTGTTGTTGTTCCTCTTCTGGGGACGATTTCTGTGGCCGAGTGCCGCTCACCTTCCGTGGGAACAGATTGTTGCCAGCTATCTCCAGTTCGCCCACCACCGTGTTGAGCACCAATGTGCTCTTTGGCGGATCTTTCTGCTCTGGCGGATCTGTGCCGGTTTCGGCTGCTGGCAACGATACACTATTACAGCTGACCAGCTGATCCCCATTGCTGTTCACCAGACGCGCCGAGACGCCAACGAGGGGTGCGCCCAATGTGCCCGGACGATAGTCCGTATTGCTGTTGGGCGACTGCTCTTCGAGCGTGGGCCCCAGCACCAGGCCCGTCTCCAGCATGCCATAGTATTCATATATATTCTGGCCGGTTATCTCGCGCCAGCGATAGAATACCGATTCCGGCAGCAGGCCAAAGGCGGTGGCCATCAGACGTATCTTTTGCCTGCAATGATTGACAATGTACTCAACCATGCGCGAGTCCTGGGCAAACATCTTGTCATATTCGGCAATCAGACGCTTATAAATGATGGGCATGGCCAGAAAGATGTTAACGCGCTGCTTGGAGGGGCTATTGATGCCCAACAGGGAGCTCCACGCGGTATGGCTATCAAATTTCTGCTGCAACAATATATTGCCGCCGACACCGAGCAGGGCGCCAATGGCCGCATGCATGCGATTCATGGAGATGAGCGGCAGCATCGAGTCGCTGGCATTCAGATGCCAGCTCGTTACCAGGCAGCGCATCTGCGCCTCGATATTCCGATGGGTGAGCACGACACCGTTCCGGCCATTCGACGAGCCGGGCGTATAGAGCAGCATTGCCGGCGCATTGGCATAATAGTCATTGGGCAGCGTGCTCTCCGGTATGAGGGCGCCATTTAGGCCCACCAGCTGTTTGGCATACATTGCCGTGGAGGCGACACTCTCCGATGTGGGCACAAAGCTGTGGTCTAGCACAATGCTGGCCGTCTGCAGCTTTGTAGCCAGATCCTGTGTGATGCCCTCGCATTCGGGTGTTCCAATCAGCAGCTTGGCCTTGCAATCCGTCGCCTGGCTGAGCAGCTCATCCGGCGCCTGATTCGGCTCCAGCGGCACTGCCACCTGCCCAGAGATCCAGCAGCCCCACTGTATGACTATCCACAGGGCATTCGTCGAGCACAAGAATGCCACATTCGACTGCGAGGCGCTGCCTGTAAAACAATCGATTTAGGCACACGTGGAACAGCCTATAAGCCTATAAGGTATGCATATATTTCCACAACCGAGTCGATCTACCCATGTCCCTTAGTCTGTCCGTATGTAGGTCAGAACGATTTCGGAAATCGATATCCCCTTATTTTGATCAACTCACGGAACTTCGAGGAGCTAGAGAAATGTACTCTTTGGACTTTCGTATCATAACTTTTGGAATAGCTCCTTCAGTTCCATCAGAACGGTAAAGAAGACTCAATTTGGACATATTTGCATGCCATATTTATGCACTGAAAGTATCAAATTGATCGGACAACAAACACCGAACTTATTCAAGACTGGACTTTCCGAAAAGTGGGGCTGATAAAAGAAGAAGGCAGCTCGGCGCTGGATATTGGGTATCTTCTAGTCGGGCACTGCCGACTTTTATGTGTGTGTGTGTGTGTTGGTTTTTTTTTTGTTTTACCACAAAAATTGGATATTTGAATGGCCAGCTTCTTTGCGGTTATGTAGAGCTGAAAGTAGGTAAATTCGCCATTGAGATCCTTAACCGCAATCTCGTCCGGAAAGAGCATGGCCTTCTTGAATGTCGGCACCACAAAATTATTGCGCTCATCCTCGTTGAAGCTGTTGCGCAGCTTCTCAATAAAAGTGTCCTATTCAAACATTCAATTAGTTAAATATATAGATATTAGGGTAGATACTTGAATTGGGCCGCACTCACTTTGTGTACTAGCTCAGCCGAACAGAGACGCACCAACGGGCGCCATTGAAATCTTTGCAAGCGTCTCAGTGACAACATCTTCCAAAAGTATCCCAAATGTTTTCTCGTTTCTCGAATGCTCAGTCAAATGATTTGTCGAACTTCAATGCAACAAAAACAATCAAATTAACTCATATCCACATATATTTCACACAATTTTCATGGCTTACTCTGTTCGCAACAGGGCTGCAATCCCTAAATCAAAAACAGTTTCCACTTTGGTTCCTGGTTCATGGTTCGAACCAACTTTGGGTTCAACTCGCTTCCATACAAGTTTCAAAGGTTTTTAAAGAAATACAATGCTTGTGGACGAACTTATTTAAGCCTTGGGGCTTAAAACATGGTTCATTTCTGGTTTCACTTCGTTCAAAGGTTTGGTTCATGCTTAAGAATAAGTTGAACCACCGAAATCGAACCGGTTCGGCTCAAAACCTTTGCTCGGTATAGATCCACTTAACAAATTTGATATCTACAAGCCTCATAGAGCCCGAGTTCACATAGATAGGATATGGATATATAATATATGAAAAGCCTATTTACTGGTTTTTCATTTAAATTTTATAATTTTTATTACAATTTCTTGTTTGATTTATTTACACATTTAATAGGGACGACAATACAAAAAAAAATAATATTTATATATATAAAAATAAAAAAAATAATAAACTGCATACTGAATATTAAAAGTAATCAAAGTACATTGGAAAAACTGGCCACAATTTTGGTATATGCACAAATCGAGTAACCAAATGGCGTTTACACAGATCAAAATTCCCCGAACAATATATATATAACATATATATATATATATATATATATATTAGAATTCGCATTAATTAAATATGTATATGTACACGCAAGTAAATGATGTTGTTTGTTGCCGTTGCCGTTGCTGAGAGAGTTGGAACTGAGACTCCTATTGGAATAACATACTTAAGATATTGAAAACAAGTTCATTATCAAATCAACCAATATTTTAACTTAAACCGGATTAAGATAATTTCTTGAAACGCATTTTGAGTTGGACTTAAGTTGCATTGATTTCTGCGAATCTTAAGTAGGTTATTGTTAATATTATATGATGCAATGCGGTTCAATCGAAACTGAGATTCGGATATGGCCCCGATGCTAATGACAAGAAGAAGTACGAAACAGAATGAAGAATATGAAAAATAAACTAATTTGGACATTAAACAAATATTGCACCAACAAACACAACGAGTTTTGATCAAAGTTATTCGATATTTGTGACAGAACATTTTTTGAACAGCAAAAGATACATTATAAATAAACTAATTAGACATTTTGTGAACAGCAAAAGGTACATTATAAATAAACTAATTGGACAAATAAAGAGAGTAATTTTGTATAGAATAGCTCGACTGCATATATTTATTTTTTAGGCATAATATTTGAGGAGCTACATGGAAGACTGCAGACAACAACTCTCTGGCTAGGTTTGGATTCACCTAGTCTAATCGCACTTCGGGCTGCTGCCCTTTTAAAGAATCTTAATTCCATATGGAATACTACTACTCTTTAAACGATTTATGATCTGATCTTAAGATTTTTTAAGACTGTGCTGTTTTGGGGCTGTAAATGCAACGAGAGCGCTAGAGATCATCCACTGGTTGTATACAAATTATTGCCTATAAATGCGCTCCCTCTCTCTCTCGCTCTCTCTCTCGCTCTCTCTCTATCTATCTTTTTGTCTGTTTCGCTTTCTCTCTCTATCCACTGTCTGTAACTCTCACTCTCTGCCTCTGCCTCTGTCTCTCTCTCTTTCTATGTGCTTTATCAATTTTTTGTTCGTTTTCTAAATGAGAATTCTTGTGCTCTGTTCTCTCTCTCTCTCTCGCTCTATCTCTCGCTTTCTCTGTCTAACTATCTATGTAGCTGTCTGTGTTCTCTCTCTCTCACTTCCTCTCTCTGGCGCTTGCCCGTCTCGCTCTCATACGCGCTTCGGCTTGCTGACGATCGTGTAGTTGAGTCCGTTGTAATTGCGATGATCGAGGGCGGCATCGTTGTTGCTCTTGTTCGTTGTGGGCGTGGCACAGTGGCCAGTGCCAGCTGCATTGTTGTTGTTGTTGTTGCTGTTGTTAGTGGCGGGCAGTGTATTGTTGTTGTTGTTATTAGTATTATTGTTATTAATAAGATTATTATTGTTATTGCTGCTGTTGTTGTTGTTGTTGCTGCTGGCAGTATTATTGGTGGACTTGCGCAGGACCCCATAGCCAAGATGACTGTCATCGGCCTTGCGAAAACTTTCAGTATCTGGACTAGCAATCAGTTCATATTCGTTCGGCGGCGGCGGACTGCGCATGCGATTCGTGGGCAGCGTTACATTCACAATTGTCTTGTAGCCGCTGGAGGTTTTATTGTTTGGCGACAGAAAGTCCAATCGATCGTAATTGGCATCCGGCGAGATCAGTACACCGACGCCCACGCCCACGCCCACACCGACGCCCTCACCAATATCAATGTCAATAATTTTGGGGGTGCTGCTGCAGGTGCTGGTGCTCAGATCCTTGCGCTTGTCGCGCTGCGCGAACGAACGCTGGCGCACAAAATCGCTGTCACAGCTAAGGGCGGGTATGCGCTCGCAGTGGCGCACATCGCCAACGCCGCGCGTCTTCCAGGCATCGGTTATGTTCTCAATGGACTCGTAGTCGCGCTCCAGCGACAGCTGCTTGCCGCAGCTCTCATTGCGCAGCGGCAAATCCGGCGGACTGCCACGCAACGGATCCGGCGATGCCGGCTTCAGTATCACAGCCGAGCCGCTGTTCTTGCTGTTGGCATCCGAGGGCGATGATGATGTTATGGCAACCGGTTCATATTTCACAAGATTCTTATATTTATCACATTGAGTTTGGCCAGTCAGCAGACCCGTCGCCGTCGGGCTCACCACATTCAGTTTCTCCAACGGCGTTGGCAGCTTGCGCGGCGGCTTATTGGGAATGTGTTTGCCAACGGCCGCAGCGGCGGCGGCGGCGGCTGCGGCGGCGGCCTGCGATGAGACAGACAGGCTGATGCTGTTGGCAGCTCCGGTGCCGGTGCCGGCGCTGCTGTTGGCCGAAAAATTATTGAGCGAATCATTTGAGCTGATGAAGCCGCGCAGCGATATGCAGCTCTGCGTGGAATTGATCTCGAATTCGCCGGCATGCGGATTACTCGATGGCGATGGTGGCAGCGGACTGCGCGAGCCGGGCTCCATGCAGGCGGCGGCACTGAACTGATTCTCGCCGCATTCAATGCTGCTCAGGCTGTCGCCGCTGATCAGCTTCTTCATGGACTTCATTTTGGCGGACATGCAGCGGAAGACCTCCTGCGGATTGGTGTGATCGAGCGTAAAGACGCCCTCGCCCGTTGTACACTTGCGTCCCGCCTCAAACTGAAATTTGCCATCCCGATAGCCATATTTGCGTATGAATCGATACGGCCACATGGCAATTGTCACATTCAGATCCTCCGATTTCAGCTGCAGTTCCGTTGGCGTCATCTGCAGCATATATGTGCGCGGCTCGATGTTGCACCGAATGGACGCCTCCGAGGGTATCAGCGTTATAATAAACAAACCGTCCTGTTGATAAAACGAAATGTGATCAGCATCAATTGCCACTAATTGTGTGTGTGTGTGTGTGTGTGTGTGTGTGTGTGTGTGCGTGTGTGTGTTTGTTTGTGTGAGTATCGTGTGGCAGCCAGCTGCAGCTGTTGCCACAATTAGGCTGCTTTTTGTTGCTGCTAGAAATTGAAGCTTCCATTTGGAGGTAGGCACGGTTCGTGCTTGTTTTCTTAACGATAACGCGATTACATTCACATATTATTTACATTTTGTTTATGCAATTGGTTGGCAAAAAAAAAACAGTTGCCTCACATTTCTTATCGTAGCTTGGCTTCTAGTTCCAAGCAAAATATTACGTATCGCTAACTACACACTTTTGATATTCATTCTTATGATCAAAACAAGATTGGCCTGCTTTTCTTTTTTTTTGTGTCAGATTTGCAAACATTGCAAAGCATTTCATTTTCAAGACCATTCTCTCTCTCTCTCTCTCTCTCTCTTACTCTCTCACTCTCTTTCTCTCTTCCCTTTGTATTTGGCAACTCTTCTTTGTGCTTCATTCTTAAACGTTGCATAGATTTCGTCTGTTCTCTTTCATGTTCTTTCTTCCCCATTCGTTAACGTTTGTGCAGTTCTTCTTCTTCGCCTCATATTCGTAAACGTTATGTCAATTGATCGTTGCTTACTTTCGTTCCTTCAACGCATTGTTCTACGCTCTTTTCAGCTCGCTTTCTCTATACTGCCCAGTCGTTCAGTATTCTTCTAAATAGCCTACCTAGACCTCAGCAGTTTCCAGCAATTAACTTAGTAAGCTTTGATTGTGCGATCAGTGCCACTTTTGAGAACGAACAAGTTGGCCTTGTGGCCGATTGCACAGTTAAATTTCAAGCTGGTCTGGTTTTTTTTTTTTTTTTTGTGTACATTTATAACATTAAGCATTGTATATTATAGAACTTGCGTGTAACGCCCTGAACATTTGGTTAAGCAAATTCGAAATTCAACGTATGCAGAATGGATTCGAAGCGTGCCAAAAGAGAATTGGGGCAAAAAGATGGAAAGGCCCCGGAAACCGTTTGGACACCAATACGAGCAATCAAAGAAGAATGGAAGACTAGTATCGAGGTGAAGAAATCGCTAAAAGACCAACACGATCGGATTGTCGAATTCATAAGCCATCAACGGGAGCTGGGAGTTACCGACTCTGACGCAGACGATGAACAAGATCAAAATGCAGCCGCAAAAAACGAGGAAGAACGCAAAAATGCAGAGGAGGAAACCCAACGACAGCAGCTAATCGCAGATGGTATCAAAGAGCAACAGCGCGTGCGCCAAGAGAAATGGGAAAAGGATATGCAAAACGAACTGCATTTGCTTAACGATCTCAAGCGCGAACAGGTGTACGATCACAAGCTCAAGAATCCCATACCCATCACGGAATGCCATACGGGCGCGCATACATGTGATGAATCGCTCGCCACCATGTCGGATCTCAATAAGCTGGTGGCCCAGAGGGTACCAAAAATCTATTTGGATGAGCTGCTCACCGAGCCGCTGCTCAGCTGGGAGTCGAACATGCTGCCGAAGAAACCAGACCTGGTCGAAGAGCTATGCCGTCTATTTCGCCAGAATATTGGACCCACGCTGGCCGTTGTGGTCGAGGGCAAACAATTCTATTGCCATGCCATGCTGTTGGGCCTGACGTCCGCCTTCTTTAACAATCGCAACTTTTCGCAGGTGCTGTATCTGCCGGCATCGAAGATACCATCGCGCAGTTTTGTTAACATCTATCGCTGGATGCTGGAGCCCATCAATTCGGTAACGCTCTCCCAGCTGGTCGAGCTAATGCGTGCCTCGCAGTTCCTGGCCATCGAGGAGCTGACCAAACAATGCTGGCGACTCGCCCACGATGTGCTGAAGACCACAGACCGTGTCCTAACCATGTATATCGTATCGCAGCGTGTCTGCGTCAACATCGAGAAGATCATAACGCCCTATGTGGGACGCGTTTGGCTGCCCTATGCGGCCAGTCGGGAGTTTAGCAATCTGGAGTTTAGCAAAGTGCGACGCCTGCTGCAATTGGACAATCTGTCGGTCAATACGGAAATGGAAGTGGGTATTGCAAAAAAAATAATTACGCACGGCCTACGGTCAACTCGATTGTCGTCTACCTGTCTATTTTTCCTGTATCATTTCCCAGGTGCTATACACGGCCATACTCTGGCTGAATGGAAATTGGCCGCTCCGGAAACGTTATGCTGTGGATCTGATGCGTGTCATACGCTTCGATGTGATGCCCTTTGTATTCCTAATCGGCTTCGATCGGCGCAAGGACGGTCCACCAGCGATGAGGTATTTGAGGGAGTCGGTCAAAGTGCGCAAACTCATATTCGATGGACTCGCCGATCTGTGAGTATGCCTACAGGCCAGTAGGCCAGTATCAAATACGCTAAATCACAGCCCGTCCCGCCCACCTGTTAGCCGCTTAAAGCCGGACAGGCATATTGGCGGCAACGGCAGCTGTCCGCGCGATTGGATCTACGATCCATCCTGTCCCTATCATCACGGCCACATGTGCAACACGGTGCGCTATGCGACCTTCAACGAGTTCTCCAACTACCTTCAATGGTTGCAAAGATCTGGCTACTCGAGCGGCAATCGAATCAAGCGCTACACTGACAATGACATTGTCTGTTGTTAAGTCAAATGGATTTTAAATGGAGAACGCAGCAAAATATTAAAAGGAATATACTTTTTTTTACAAACCATCTTTGTTGTCTTTCCTCTATCCACTCCCCCAAAAACTATTGTTCCTTTATTATTGCCGTTAAAACCCGGCCTTGTCCGGCCGCGGTGTTTTGCTTTAAGCTTTAAAAACGCCTCTTTTCCTGCCTCTCGGGTATTTAACATAATTTCATTAATTTATTCGTACGTTGGGTATGAATCTATCTTTAAGCCTTGCTCGGAAAGCTGAGACACCTCTCAAATATATTTTATTTGAGACAAATAGCATAGTAATCAAAATTTTTGAGTAGGAGGAGGAGTTTTTGATCCCAGCCAATAGAGGAATATCCCCATGTTGCCTGGAATGTTATCCTATATAAGATACACTTTTACAAATGTGAAACGCATACAAGGAGACATATCCGACCCCATTAAGTATATATATTCTTGATCAGTATCAACATCTGAGTCGATATAGCCATAGCCATGTCCGTCTGTCCTGTTTCTATGCGAACTAGTCTCCCAGTTTTACCGGCTCTTTCCGGCTGGTTCGGATCATTATATCATATAGCTGCCATAGGAACGATCGGTTGAAACTTAAGTACTTGTGGGGCAAACTTTTTTGTTTTTCAAGATATCTCGTCGAAACCCGGCATTTATTAGATTTACTCTGCTGCTCATATAAATGCAAAATCCTATCAACATCGGATCACTATATCATATAGCTGCCATAGGAACGATCGGTCAAAACTGAGGTTCTTGTATGGAAAACTTTTTTGTATATCAAGATATCTTAACCATACTCGGCAATAATTATTTTCCCTGCGCTTCTTAGATACGAACAAAGCATTTCGAGCAATATTTGTGTTCTTCTCAATAAACTTTCCTCGCACCGAATCATCATGGTACACTATGAAAGCTTGAAAGGTTGCAAGTCTCCACAAAGAGTCTGAATTGTGAATTTTGCATATGAAACCAAGTTATCAATTTCTGAAGAGCTCTCAAGGAACTGCAACTTATTGAGAACATCTCTCGTTAAGCTCCCTTTGGGCTTGCCTAGAATCTGTTGCTGTATTAACAACTTTCTATAAACTAGTTTTGGGTTTCAAATTCTCCTCCTAAATACCTTTCGGATGTGAAAGCTGAAAGCTTTGTTAGTTTCTTTAAGTTGTGGGACTTACAAATGAGCTGCAATATAGATCATTGTCCTCCTCGATGGCACCGTGGGCGGCATGGAGGCCGCTATTGTCGCAAAAGGCGACCGTTTGCAGTGCAGTCACCCAATCCTTGAGCTCCTCATCGCTGTTCGTATTGAGGGTTAGCTGACCATTCCGCTTGACAATCTGTATGAGATTCGCTGGCGGCGGCTCCTGTGTGATCTTAACGCAATTCTCAAGGGTGAAGATCTTTGGATTCTTGTCATCTTTATTCTCGCAAATCTCCAGGCGTGCGATGCCATGGCGACTGGCCTTGAATAGGAGACAATAGCGACTGCATGATTTCTAGAATATATAAGAGCATACGAATCTAATCATTTATCTAATCAAAAATTATTAAAATGATTTAAAATACCAAAAATAAATTGAGAACTTTTGTACTAATCGAGTACAACTCGAAGTTTTGGTTTTAGCCTCAAGCTAAACATAAGATCGAGTTTGAAAATATAAATAATATACAAAGAAATTAAGTCGAAAATTCCGGGCAACTCCAAGTAATTTCTTCTAATAGCATATCAAAAGAGCAATAAAACTTGTGCAAGTCTTTGGTTTTGACAACTTTTCGAATACATCTCGAAGGTTGGGTTTATTAATTTGGTGTTAGCCTCTCGCGCAAAACATTGTAAGATCGGGTTTTAATGTTTGTGCTAATCAAATTTCCAACGAAAATTCGGACTTACATAACAAAACGACACATACATGCATTTTAACTGGGCACGGCCCCAATCCTCAGAGGCACTTAAGAATTCCCTGACATATGCAAGCGTATATATATACATATATCTATATATGTATATGTACATATATGTATTTGTATATGGAGACAACGGCACCATGAAGCATGGATGAATCCCCAAAACAGCCGTCATCGCGAGCATACACGCACGCATACATACATACGTTTATTGTGTGCGAGCATGTGTGTACGTCTCAGGCGCGCACACGCAAATTGAAAATATGTTCGGCTCGCCGTTTGGCATGTTTCTTTCTTTCTCCCACCTTATGCTTCTCATTTGTATGCAACAAGTATGCAGATGGAGATATCTAGACACACACATATACATACACACACTAACGCCTATGCGCACACAAGCATACAAGTGCACACACACAAATGCACATGGCGAGGTCCTGTTTTAATACGCATTTGCCAAAATAACGAAAGTTGCATTTCAAATTAATTTGGCATTTGGCATTGCACATTTGTGCAATTGTTGCAGTTTAATTGTGAAATATGCATGTTCTTTGCCAGGCTCTTACCTTTTTCGAGATACGATTTAGCGAAAATCCAGTTTGTGTTGGAACATTAAGATATCCAGCCAAAACAGGTATTTCAACATCCATTCTGTTGAGGCCCGTTGCCGATGCTTCTCGTTTGCGTATTCAATTGGCCAGTAACAAAACGCGATCTTGTCAATTTTCATAAATATTTAACGATTTGTATTGCTTGGTATATGCAATTAGAGATTCACACTTCATATTTACATTTGACCGCAACAAAAATAAACGCAGCCGCTGGCCAACAATTCGAGTAACTTTATTTATTTATGCGCTCCCAGAGCTGCATTCTGTGTGCTGCAATCGAAATCGAACTATTATTTTACCAGCACACCGATGTACGCTATCGAGTACTTTGATCGGTAGCGATCGTGCTGGGCACGAAAACATCGATAGCAATTCGAGTGTCTCGCTTAAACTTTGCGATAGTTGAAGCGTTGCGTGGATATGCGCAAATATCTTGCTTGTTTGTAGCGAAATAAATAAACTATGAAAAGACGCAACAAACTGAATCAGGCCACGTAACATAATTTTAAATAAAACGTGTTGCCGCCTTTATTTATTTAGTGGTCACAATCATTGCGATAGATATGAATGTTACCACGCATTCGCGAAAAAATCCAAGCACGAGCAGACGATGTATCGATATGCCAAACAACTCAATGCAATTTGTGGGGCTGCCAACCTGTTACGTATTTCGCGGTGAATGGCAAAAAACAATAACATACGGTGAACCTGCAAAAGTATATTTTGTGCAAAATATAAATAAATTAAACATGGCACACGATCGGGAGGTGCTGCGCATGATATGGGAAGGTCAAATTGGCATTTGTTTTCAAGCGGACAACGAGGAAATTGTCGGCATCCGACCGGAGCCCTTCTATCTGATGGTCTCGCGCCTCAGCTACTTGCCACTGGTCACAGACAAGGTAAATTCGTATGAAAAAAACAAAGAATACTTGTTATTTATTTGCTAAAAACAGCTGCATCAACTTATGCTTACAGGTGCGCAAGTATTTCACCCGCTATATTGCTGCCGAGCACCAGGATGGCGCCGCCTGGTTCGATTTCAATGGAACGCCGTTGCGCTTGCACTTTCCAATAGGTAGCTATTGTGGGCGGCATAGTGGGCGTGGCAGCTCCTATTAAATGTCCATAATTTAATTGTGCTGCGGTTTTGTTTTTATTGTATGCACAGGTGTGCTTTACGATCTGCTGCATCCGGATGACGACAGCACACCCTGGTGCATAACGATACACTTTTCCAAATTTCCCGAGGAGACGCTCGTCAAATTAAACACAAAGTATACAAAATGCATGCACATACATTCAATATATATATATTTATATATATATATATATATCCTATCAGGAGCTAATGTGTACGCTTAACATTTCTAGGGAACTGCTGGAATCGCATTATTTGTCCTGCCTGAAGGAGGCCGATGTGCTAAAGCATCGAGGTTTGGTCATCTCTGCCATGCAAAAGAAGGATCACAATCAGCTGTGGCTCGGCCTGATTAACGACAAGTTCGATCAGTTCTGGGCGGTCAACAGACGCCTCATGGAGCCCTACAGCGATCAGGAGTCATTCAAAAATATTCCAGTGCGCTTCTATCACGATGATGTAAGTTCCCAAAACCGAATCTAACTTGAAGCATGTTCCAAATAAATATTTGGCACAGTAATTAATATATTATTTAAGTTATCTTAGAAAGAACATTGACTCAGTTTGTGCTCCCAGCTCAGATGGCGGGCTTCTTCAGCAAGAGATGTGCTAGAGCAACTGCTGCTCACCTAGGAATTCCCAGGCACAGTAGAACATTCGGCTCGCAGTGCCGCGCCTTCCCTATTGTTAGGTTCCCTTAACATTGTTATTATTAGATCGCCTGCAGGCAAATATCGCAGACAAGTTTCCTTTTTCCGAAATTCAGTTCCTAAATGAAGGTGCCACAAAAATGTTCTTTCATATCTGAAACAATCTTCAAGTGTGCACGTGTTATATTTGTTTTGCATTCTCCTGAATATACAAACCCATGTCCGTCTGGCTATTTCTATGTAAACTATTTCCTCAGTTTTTGCCATGCTCCCTTATGAGTAGCTTATTAACTTGCATAGATATAGGTGTATAGAAGCATGTCTCATTAAATCTTTGCCAATATAATAATAATATATAGGGTGCGAATGTGGAGGCATGTGAACCTCGCTGTTCTTCTACCAGCAGCCTCTCAGGCTCTCACCATAGAACTAATCTGGCACCATGGCTCTCTATGCTAGAGTCCTTTGTGACTTGTTGGGTACATTTGCTGATGGTAAAGCGATTTGATTTACATTTGTAGTTACAATTGGGATAACACTTGCTGTTAACAGGCGCAACTGGAATCTGTTAACACGCTTAATCAGGAGGCTATGGAAATGGATTACTTTCTGGTTTGGTCGTCAAGATTTATTGGTTCGTTTTCAATGATCATCCAGTACGTTGTATACGCGGGTAGAGCATTTGCTCGTCGTTGAGTTGCGCATGCAATCAGCTTCCGTAGTCCATAGCTCGGTAAAGCTTCTTGATGGGTCTCTGGCGAAAGGCCAGGGCGAAAGGCCAGGGCGAAAGGCCAGGGCGAAAGGCCATGGCGAAAAGCCATGGCGAAAAGCCAGGGCGAAAGGCCAGAGCGAAAGGCCAAGGCAAAAGATACAACCGAATCGTGTTTCCGCTAAATCCAATTTCATGCAAACCTCACCAAGACAAACTTCACGATCTCTAAACTTTGCCGGTGGTTAAAAATATGAAGTCTAGTAATGTACTTGGGATATTTTCTCCCAAAAATCTTAAGCACGATTTTTTCGATTATTCCAACAAGTTGAGATTGGGCGTAAAATAAATATTACATAAGGTAAATTGTTGAAAAACAACATTTGAACTGTGCTGGACTTTAAAACACTTTTTCCAAGCGTGCTTGATCAAGTTAACTTCGTGTTTGAATTGGGCGTTGTTGCAAAAACGCGGCCCGTGCCCAGCTCTGATTGCAAGAGTTTACAATAACTGCAAGGCGATGAGCCATATGTCTGCAAGGGTATTCAATCTTCGGCGTGCCGAAGTTAGTTTTAACCGACACGTGCTGCACTTAATCTTAAGCTAATCCGCACGCATAATGTTTATAATTATTATATGTGAATTTAAATTGTATATTCAATAGGATTTCACGTACATGCAGAAGCTAATAACGCCGCTCAACGAGGGCGGGCAAAAGAAGAATCTGGCCGACCTGATGGTCGAATTATCGACACCTGTTCGCAAAGCGGGTGAGTTGGCCATGCAACTGGATCCCTTCCAGATATTCTATAGAATATATATATATATATATATGTATATGTGTGTGTGTGTGTGTGTGTGTGTATATGGACATTAGTTGGACACGGCCGGGCGATTTGCCGGCCATCAATTAACTCGGACGCACATTTTGGGCAATGGGGCACACAAAATTGCGGCTGCGAGACGCGACGCATTCTTATACGCGGCTGCGGCATCCTGACCGGGCCCATGCCCCGTCTCGCTCGCTCGCATGCCCCGTCTCGCTCGCTCGCTCGCTCTTTGGTGTGCGGCATTCAGCTGAAAAGCGGCCAAAAAGGTGCCAGTCAGTCTGGCCCAAACGTCGGCGCGCTGACTTATTTATTTTTCTATTGAAGCGAGGCAAAGCCGCTGCCGACGTCGCTGTCGCTGTCGCTGCCGTGGCCGACGTCCCTGCGGCACTGCCAATCATTCTTCAATTCATCAATGTCAGTAACAACAACAACAACAACAACAACAACAACAAAATTGAAAAATTATTGAACAATAGCCCCGGGCCAGTACCCGGAGCGACCCAAGAGAGCCGTCCAGGGTTTGCCTGTTAGACTTTTTGGCCAAGTGTTTCTTCGGGCCATTCAGCCGCATAGACAAAACCCGATGCAAGTGTGTGTCTGCGTGTGTGTCTGTGTGTGTGTCTGTGTGTGTGTGTGTCTGTCTGTCTGTTTTCAACAAAAACTATGAAAAGAGTGTGCGTGTGGATTTTTCGTGGCAAGCGAACGTTGCAAGCGACGCCGCTGGATTCCTACGCGACCTGCGGCGCCGGCAGCAGACACAAGTGCGAGCGAGCAAGCGCATAGCTAGGCAAGGTGTGCCTGTGTGTGTGCGTGTGTGCGTGTGTGTGTGTGTGTGTTGGCCGTGTCGTGTCGCAGTGGCTTAGGTGCAATAATAGCATTGGGAATTCCATAGCTAGACAAAAGGCGGAACTAAATACCTGCGGCTGGGATTTACGAATTACCTCGTGAAGAGCTGCTGCGCGTCTCTCTGTATGTGTATGTGTGTGTGTGTGTTCAGGTGTGTGTGTGTATGTGTGCATCTCTGTACAAAAGACTCCCTCAACGGGCAACAACTGCAATCGCTTTCATTGAGAAGCCTCAAAACACTCGAATGCATCGAGTGCTCTCTCTCTCTCTCGCTGTCTCTTTTCTGCAGTCAGGCCTTAAGCCCAATCTGATGCTCATCCTCAGATCCTTATGGCAGGGTATCTGCATCTGTTTTTGCTAGAGAACAGCAGGTTGGCCAGTTTTTCTATTTTCCAGCCGGGTATTTCCCCGTCGTCCAAGGTGTGAAATTTTTATTTGCATGCTTCGCCCAAAATACTTCTGGCTAGCACATATTTCTCGTCTTCTTCTTCGTCGTCTTCTTCTTCGTCGTCTTCTTCTTCTTCATTGCTTCTTTCTTGTTTCGGTAATTCCCATTTGAAAGGTGAGAGATTTGGTCGAGAACAAAAACCGATCCTTTGCCGACCAATGGATGCCAACAATTTCTGGCCCTAACACGTATTTTCCCAAAGGTCATCCAACGTGACAGTTGCATTCGATTTTCTTGTCCTTGATGCCAGACACACACACCCGCACACACACACACACCCGCACACACACACACACAAATTCCTTTGCCAGCTCTTAAGTCTGGCTTAAAGTGGGCCAAGGGATCGGTCCAGGCACAAGTTAATTCCCGTTTAGGTCAATTGAGTGCACAAAAAAAAAACAAGGCTAAAGAATCGAATTCCAGTAGAAATCAGCTTTAATCATTCGATCAAATTTTACTGGTAGCATTTTTATTTATTATTATTATTATTATCATTATTTTTTTTCAATTTTAAATATATCTATTATTAATATTTTTTAATATTATTATTATTTTATTTTAATTGTATATCAAAATACAATTATTATTATATATTGTTATTATTATGTATTATTTTTACTCTTATAATAATTATGATTATAATTTTATTTT